CCCCCCCCCCTCCTATTTTCTCTTTGCGCGGCATCGAGCGCGGCGGAATTTACGATATCTCGCGTACACGTGTGCACATCCGCTTCTTCTTCGTACGCAATTCATCCACATTCTCCGGAGAACGTCACAGAGGATCGCCAGAAACGATCCTGTGTCTTCGTCCGGATTTCTTTTTGCCCTTGCCGTAGGTGGCATAAACAGTGGGATATTTTTCGCGCCCTTGCATGAAATACCGCGCAATATCCACTTAACGGACGACGCCGTAAACTTCCGGTTACAGCCGCAGGGCTTTGTTCCTCCCGTTGGAAATTTACATTCGGAGTTTCAATATTCGTTGCTCGCGCGTTGCAATTCTTCTTTTTTTTCTCCCCCCCACCCTTTTCTCGCAGTTATCACGGCGTTCACGAAATCGTCGTTTAATCGCCGTACTTTTGCCGCCCGGGCGGCAACGTTCGAAGACAAATATACGAATGACAGGGAGAGAGAGAGAGATTTTCGCTCGGACGAAGTTACGACTCGAATCGAATTGGTTTCGCGATTTTCAATCGAGCCCCTCTTTCGATCCCCCTTTCGCATGCACGGCAATGTAAATTTACAGAGGAATGGCCGACACGCGAGCACCTCGTTCCCATGGCATAATTCATCGACGCTGATACAAATACACGGACGTGTAATGAATACAGATACGAGCGTATCGCGAGTTAAGCAACGTGAATCGCGATATAAGTATTTGCTGAATGACATCGTATCGTTCGCGCTTTCTTTTTCGAAAAAGGAAAAACCAACTGGAAATAAATTTCATTTATGGGCAGATCGACTTGACACGTTGTTGACCGGTCACGAGGATATCGTGAAATCTCTCTTCGTGTTCACTTTATCTTTTAAAAAAAAAAGAAATTACTTTTATCGCGATTTTAGAAAAAATATCAATCATGACGTGAAATTGCCGGTCAACGATGTGTTAAAATAAGACAAGATGTTTTTGATAAACGTGTGAACATAATCCTCGTTCCTTGTTTGCGAGAGACATGCGCCTTTGCTGATGCAGGTTCGGCGAAGGTTACGTGGCGTTCTTACGATTCCGACAGCCGATATCGTCCGCGGATCTGAGGAAAGCCGTGGCGAAGTATTTCCCGCAGGCTGTGGTCTCCTCGAGACAGGCAAGCGCCGCTCGTCTGTTGGTACCGCGAAGCCAGGACATGCCGGTGAGCAGCAGCTTTAATAAGCTGAAGCTGCTGGCCGAGGAACTGAAAGCCACGGACTACACGCTGACCCAAAGTTCCCTGGATCAGGTATGTATCATAAAAGTTTCAAGCATATCCGCGGTAACGTAGTTTCCTGTTTCAAGGATTACGTTTCACTACCGCGTTTTATGTTGAACTTGGAGCCAAGAGCTAATACCGAAGGCTAATACACAAAGGTTAATACGCGAAGGATAAAATTTCGAGAATAAAGGGGAAGAGGCGCGCAACGTTGAATCGAATCGGATGCTAGTCCAGACAAGTACACAGGTGGACGAAAGTGGATTTAAATTGGACGAGAAATTGTTGCTGCAGCAGCTTCGACGAACAAAATTGCCAGCGTGAGAACTCGGCTCTTTTTCGAAGCACATTTTTACATCATGCACAGTGGATGGTTTTATTGGAATTTGAACACCATCAAAATCACTGAAGAATTTTTTTCGCGACTATTAGAGGTACCCATAAGTAATGTTAATTTTTTTTACAAATTTAATCAAAAACCCCTTAAAACTTGCTGTACGATCTTTGTTCGCCATTTCATCGAACCTTGAATGTTAGAGTTAAATGGCAGAAATTCGAGAAATCTTAACCCCCCTAAGTGTTCAATAAAACGGCGAGGAAAAATCGTGCAGTGAGTTTAAGACTGTAGTCTTCAAAATTCGACAGATCTTGCCACGAAAAAGAATTTTCAATCGTTTCCAGAGGCATTTAAATTTTCGAGAACAAAAGTGTCCTTGTTTTTCCACTTGCACATCTGTACATGATGTAGAACCATGCTCGAAAGAAGCTAACGTAGGGCTGTCAAGGTGGAAGCTTCGCGAGCTTCGAAATGAGATCCTCTGTTACTTAAATTTTTGTTCGAAAGTTGCAGTAGTTTAAAACTGTGGACAATTTTTCGTCGAGCTTTCGTCCATCTTTGCACGTCTCGAGACTGTTCCGCGCAATGCACAATGCCCTTGTCCCGAGCAGATGATGCACTGCCAATGCTAGGCTGTTCGATCAAGGACGATCCTCGTTCACGTCCCAGATATTCCGAGGAATATTAATGGATTCGTCGCCTTACACGAAGATTCCCTCCGTAGTTTCTAGCTCGTTAAAAATCAATCTTCTAGCAT